AATCCAATCTCCACCCACTCACTTAGGAACCGAAACATACAAATCGGCGACACCCAAAACAAGACTTCCGTCCCGGAACCAGATGATGAAGTCACGTACTATCATGAAAGTTCATCTGTGTTGGTAGATACCAGTCTTTTTCAAAGAAGCCACGTCAGTCTACTGACGACTCCGACCCTGGTGATACCCAATCTCCACCATGTTTCTTGTCCACCCACTCACTTTGGAACCGAAACATAAAGATAAACCTAGCATGCATTAGCGCCACTCAAAACAATACTTCCGTCTCGGAAGTAATAACCGGCAGACAAAAACTCACGTGTTACGGTCAGAGTACTAGACCACGCCGACCCTGGTGGCGGTTGCGCTGATGTCGGAACCCAAACATACAAACCTAGCATGCATTAGCGCCACTCAAAACAATACTTCCGTCTCGGAAGTAATAACCGGCAGACAAAAACTCACGTGTTACGGTCAGAGTACTAGACCACGCCGACCCTGGTGGCGGTTGCGACTGATGCCGGGAACCCAAACATACAAACCTAGCATGCATTAGCGCCACTCAAAACAATACTTCCGTCTCGGAAGTAATAACCGGCAGACAAAAACTCACGTGTTGCGGTCGGAGTACTGCACCACGCCGACCCTTGTGGCGGTTGCGCTGATGTCGAAGGCGTTGACCACGTTCTTGGTGAAGCCCTTCATCAGGTCGAAGTTGGCGCTGGTCACACTTCCGGAACCGTCCAGGACGAAGAACAGATCCAGCGGGGCGGTGCACGTGGGCTTGGGGGTGGTCACCACTGAGGAAAATTGAAAAGAAAAGAAATCAGAGAGAGATACGCAATGAAATTTGTACATACAAACTGTTAAATATGTATTGTTATGTTCGTATGTACTCTTCCTTCTCCTGGAGGAATACCAGTCACCCACGGGTGGGCAGCTAATGGAGAATCGTTCCACAATAAACCACAATACTCAAGCAGCTGTATAGATTTTGAAAAAAAATTACGAGCCGACGTTTTGACGACCGTCTGACATCTTCGTCAGAGCAATTCTGACTGGTTTACTATGCACTGACACTATATGTTACTTGGTGCATAGTGCACTAAAGGTGTTATATTGTTCACAGTACACTGTTACTTGGTTCAAAGTGCACATCAGCTAGATTTTACTGCAACACCTTCAGTGCACTATGCACCAAGTAACATCTAGCGTCAGTGCACAATAAACCAGTCAGAATTGCCTTTATGAAGATGACAGACGGGCATCGAAACGTCGGCTCGTAAAAAAATTAATGGTTGTGATCAAAGAACTTTGAAATATGTGAGACTTACTGTTTTGACAGTTGGTGCCTGTGAACCCGGCCGGACACTGGCAGGTGTACTGGTTGTTGCCGTTGACGCACACACCGCCGTTCTGACAAGGTGCGGACGCGCACTCGTCGATGTCTGCAGAACAAGGAATCAGAGATGTTTAAAGTTAGAACTTTTGATCTATCACAAAGAAAATATCTCGCCTTAGTGCTTTCGACCAGTCGCTCTGGTCTTTCTCGGTAGACCGACCCAGTGAGACCTGTAAGGTGGCTTCTTGGAAATTTGACATCAACACTGGGTAAAAGGTATCTGGTAGACGATGTCGGCTCCCGTCGCGGTTGAGTGTCTGTGTTGGATCAAGAGTTTATTTATTAATCATGTAACCACATCAGTTACAGGAGGTCAATATACATGAAATATACATTGCCCCACAGAATCTGCTTAGAGATTACTTGACGACGGAAGGTTCTTACCTACCGATGCAGATTTTACCTATGGAAACCTGCCCTGCGATTTGATCTATGGTGGCTGTGAAGGGTGCCTACTACTGCTACCTCTCTTTTCTGCTACTACCTCTACTACTACTATTATTACTACTAATACTACTGTTAACGTTACTACCATTACTACTACTACCACTACTACTCTCTTTTCTGCTACTACCTCTGCTGCTGCTACTACTACTACTACTACTACTACTACTACTACTACTACTACCACTACTACTACTACTACTACTACTTCTACTTCTAGGGATTACCATGGTCTCATAGCCCCTGTTGACTGAAGTTTCCTACCTATGCAAACCTGCCCGGCGATCTGATCCACGGTGGCTGTCTACTACTACTACTACTACTACTACTACTACTACTACTACTACTACTACTACTACTACTACTTCTACTACTACTACTACTACGACCACTACTACTGCTGCTGCTGCTGCTGCTGCTAAAGAACTGAAGGTTCCTACCTATGCAAACCTGCCCGGCGATCTGGTCGATGGTTGCCGTGAGCGCGTTGTAGTCGGCCAGCTCCACGACGTTGTTGGTGTTTCCGTTGGCGATCTGCTGCAGCTCGGGCAGGTCGTAGTTGCCGACGCCGATGGCGTACACGGTGACGCCCTCCCCGGCCAGCGCCTGGGCGGCAGCCGTCACGTCGTCCCCGGACTTGCCGTCCGTCACCACGATGATCACCTGCGAAAACACATCAATTATTACTTTGATTTCAGACATATTGTTTCTATTATTTGACCTCTGATCTTCAGTTTGTCATAATTTCAGCATAACTTGTATGTTTTATTTATTTATTATTATTATTATTATTATTATTATTATTATTATTATTATTATTATTATTATTATTATTATTATTATTATTATTATTATTATTATTATTATTATTATCATTATCATTATCATTATCATTATCATTATCATTATCATTATCATTATCATTATCATTATTATTATTATTATTATTATTATTATTATTATTATTATTATTATTATTATTATGCTGGACCCCAGGAAGAATAGTGTGGAATTTACCATACTAATGGAGATCTCAATAAACAAACAAACAAAAACGCACGGGCACTGGATTACACACCAGGTCCTACCAACTCCGTGACTTGAACTACAAAAGGTAACATTTGCAAAGCAAACGCCCAATGTTTAACCTCACATGGTCTAGCCGAACAAACTACTGCCCTGTTTATTCTTACACATGAAATGCAGTAATATACTAGTATATGGTGACCAGCCCCTTCAGCAGGCCAGCTCTGTCAGGTGACATAGGTGATCTATCTGACCCAATGGTGAGTACTAACTGCTCAACTCTTTTCCACAATGTAATTTACCAACTCTGGTGAACTTTCATACCCTAGGCCTTTGCGAGGTTTGAGAAGAAGTACCGCTACAGGAGTACAGTTTGCCGCTCCCTTCTGAAGCCTGGTGGCTATTTAGTGGACCAACTCCCCTAGCCTGGATTTTTCGGGGTAGCGAGTGCAAAGGAGCCCCGTAGCAAAACGGATGGCACCCAGGCTACAACTCCCCTGGCATATCATCTGTCTATTTGGCCATTTTTTTTACTCTTCCCAGCCGCTACTGAATCCTGTTACTTAGAGGCTAGAACATGTTAATAAACCACACCTACCTTAGGCACGGGCGCGCCCCTCCAGTTGGCGTTGGCGCGAGTGTACTCCAGAGCCGCTCCGGTGGCCGTGCCGCCGCCCTGGTACTGGATGCTGTTCACCGCGGCTATCGTGGACGCCTTGTCGCCGTGGGCGCCCAAATTAAACTCCATGCTGACGGTGAAATAACACAACACTCTCATTAACATATTGGTATTATAGCTCAGAGGGTAAGAGCAGGGCTCGAAATTCATTTTTGGGAATAGTTGCACCGGTGCACCCAATCTAAAAGATTAAAACAAAACATAATGACAGATCTTACTGCTCCTCTTCTCAGCACTGAAATAGGAGCTAACTTCAAAATCTTATTTTGAAGTTAGATTTTATAATCATTTTTTTACACTTAGATGCCAAGAATATCCTGTATAATATCATACATTTGATATGTACAAAAATGCCTACAAAAAGGCACCAGTGCACCCACAGAAAAAAATCGGGTGCACAGCTCCAATTTTGGGTGCACTAAGGTGCACATGCATCCAGTATTTCCAGCCCTGAAGAGTAAATGTTCAATGTACCCAATTTTCACCTACGACTTTTAAGTTCTTAAAAGACGTTCTTAAAGGCTTTAAAGGTACAGTTCAGTTGTTGAGCAATAAAGTTGATTTGATTAATAAGCGGGACTAAAAGGAAACGGAGTGTCGTGTGGGGTCGTGTGGCGTAGCGGCAACGTGCTCGACTCGGAACCAAGAGGCCCCGGGTTCGAGTCCTGACATGCTACCGATCTTGTGCCCTTGGGAAAGGCACTTTACACGACTTTCCTCACTTCGCTCAGGTAAAAATGATTATTGTCCTTTCATTATTTGTTGTCCCCTGTGTTGGTGGCGGCATTAATATAAGTTGAAGAAACTTGAGTGTGTCGTCACCACGTCTGGTGATTACATGTTGGAATTAAAAAAAATGAAAATCCCTTTCTTACGTTGGTGTGTCGGAATACTGCACGACTCCGACCCTGGTCAGGTCCGGTCCGATGTCGAACTCAGGTGTAAATGAGTACCTAGCTTCGGTTAGGGACGTCCCTCGGTTAGGACGTTGAATGGAGGTCCCGTGTTTGGAGAGAGCCACATCCCACGCACGTTAAAGAACCCAACGCACTTATCGAAAAGAGTACGGGACCTTGGTTCAAACCTTACAGTCCGGTCTTACGCAGCTTGTACATGTACGTACATGCACAAAACTGGTGTGGTACGCCCAAAGGCGGTTTACCGGTTATGCGAAACAAATAAAAACTAGAAAGGTAACATTTGCAAAGCAAATGCATAATGTTTACCTTCGCATGAGGTAATTCTTACTCATTCACAAACATATATGGTGACAGGAGTTGAAATCCCTCTTACTATGAAATTGCAACATTATGTAACCCAACACCAGTTACCATGGTGAGAGACGTCTGGTTCAGGTCATTGACCAGGTCAGAGGTCACTGTTTGGAGAAGAAGAGGAAACTGAGCAAAAACAATATGTTTTCCTACGGTTAACATAATAAAAAGGAAACGAAAATCCCTTTCTTACGCGGGTGTGTCGGAATACTGCACGACTCCGACCCTGGTGAGGTCCGGTCCGATGTCGAAAGCGTTCACGACGTTCTCGGCGAACTGCAGGGTCTTGGTGAAGTCGGCGTCGCCCACAGAGCCGGACCCGTCCAGGACCAGCATCAGGTCCAGTTTGGCGCTGCAAATCTGCCCCTGTAACAACAGAACAAGGATATTTGTATTGAAATTGCAACAATGCAATACACGCAGTAGAGACACGCATACTATGAGAGTAAACTACCTTACATAAGACTACATATGCATGTAGTATTTAGCGAGGTACGGCCGGTATTTGTACTGGTTGCATCATTTCTGTGCGGTCACGGAAGGGGGGGGGGGCGATGTTTGCATAGATCAAACTTGAGATACGGTTGCAAGTTTTCGTCGCTAATATATAAGATGCAGCGATCTCTTTAAGCTCTCTACCGAAGAAAGCGCAGAAACATCTCTGTCGTATCACGATATGATAAACATAAAACTGATACACCTCACAATGGATCTAGGCCCTTGTATAGAAAAAGTAAGGACAATTCTGCTGCATGTAAAAGAACCCAACATATTTATTGAGAAATGAGAAGCGTACGGTTGAAAATTTGAAAATTTGAAAATTTGAAAATTTGAAAATTTGAAAATTTGAAAATTTGAAAATTTGAAAATTTGAAAATTTGAAAATTTGAAAATTTGAAAATTTGAAAATTTGAAAATTTGAAAATTTAAAAATTTAAGCACCATGCTTCGCCTCAGCTGAGGATGACAAAAGAAGAATCAGATAAAGCCGTAACAACCAAAACACGTCTGACGTTCGTTTGGTCCAACATGTACCCCCCTCCTCTCTCTGATATCATCATTGGATAAACACAAACTCAACCCACGGCGCTGTGCAAACAGGGTAGGGTCAGTCACACTGCCTGATCGATCGACACATTCTCGATCCTCGAAAATTTTCTTGCACTTAAATTTTATTTCTTCGCGACGGGCTATTCTTCGTGGTAGTATCGTTGTAGGATCTTGGTGCAGTAGAATTGTCAAGGAAGCTGCGAAAGAAACAACTCAGGACACATGCAAGATTGTCCCAAAAATGTTTGCGATCGACGACGTCTGTATGTGCTCGCGCCTTCAGCGTGACGTTTTTTGACACTTCCAAACCTAGCCTCCTGAGCAGGCTTCCGGGTCGGTTGGAGTTTTATGATGCTGCGTTTTGTAGGCAGTAATGTAACGCGTTTTTTTTTGCCGGCCATCCTACAACCATCAGTAGCGGGTGCATACAAACCTTCACCGGGGCGGCCGGTTGTAGGATGGCCGGCAAAGAACGCGTTAAAAATTCTACAAAACGCTGTATCAAAATTCCCACCCGCTCGAAGCCTGCACAGGAAGCTATCCCAACCAAGGCCTTGTCATTTAAAAATGACAAGGCACTGGATCTTCCAATCTGTCGTGTTGCCATGTAAACAGCAGGTAGCTTCCGTCAGATAAACATGTTTTGTTAGATGTTAATGATTCGCTGAAGACAGACCATTGTTGTGTAAGAATAGACCCAAATGGAAGGACAAATAAAACCCTGTCCCATCATGTCGCGTGTCACTGTAAAAAGGTCACAATTAAGTGATTATTACACCATTTTTGTCTTTTTAATGCATTGCACCGCTATCCTGTAAATACATCTACCTTCGCACTAGGAGGGAAACTGAAGTGTTTGAAGCTAGCGGTAGAAACAGTTCTGTAGTACACTAGAATATACATATATTTTCAGTGTTACAATTTCGCGGTAACGAAGGTTTCTGCATTTTGATGACTTTTTCAGCACTTTTTTTTCAAATTCTTCTTCCTAATGTATATATCTCTTATCTATATTCTCTTCAACATTATTGTGTAACTTAGAGGCCAAATGTCGTGGACACGCGGTTACAACGTTCACTCTGTGGAGAACTTTGCTCTCTTGCGGCGTGTTTACCGAACAGTGTTTGGTGCGGAGGCACTGATTTAAATCAATTGTTGACAATTGCACAGTACTTCGCATTCAAGGAATGGGTGCAGAACAAATTCTCATTAACTTATAAACTGAAGGGCCTTTTTTCTTACTATATCGTAGACCAATTGCATTAGATAAGTAGGGAAAATGAAGGAACAGATCGGGCGATTAAGCTCACACAAAAACATTGATAACAGATACATAATTACCTTCGCCAAGAAGGTTATGTTTTCAGGGGCGTTCGTGTGTGTGTCTGTCTGTAAACACGATAACTTGAGTAGGTCTTGATGGATTGTCTTGATACTTGGTAGGTGGGTAGGGCTTGATGAGACCTCAAAATGATTAGATTTTGGGCCCCCTGGCGGCTTGTCATGGTACAGCAGCAGAACTTCCGGTTTTGATTTCTCATGATCCAGACATGCTAGGGTGACGAAATTTGGATGGTAGATAGCTCTTGTGCTGGGGATGAAGTCACATAAGTTTGAGCCCCCTAGTTGCTTGCTCTAGAACTGCAGGGGGGGTTTAATGGACAAATGTTTAAAGGGGGATAACTCAAGAACCGATTGATGGATCATCGTGATTTTTGGTATGTAGGTAGCTTGAGTGATGCTTGACATAATGATATTACAATTATGGAAATATGGATGTAATTTGCATAATTAATGAGGAAATTCTATTTATCAGCTGCATTCCATACTAGGAAGTTCAAGCTTGTGACATATGTTATTAAGAATGAGAGAAACACAGGCAGATATCAATTATGCAAATGAAGACTTAATTTGCATAATTAATGAGAAAATATTATAATTGCATAGTGGTAACTGCCTGGAATTTTATACTTGGGGTGTTTGAAAGTTAAGTTAAGGTGAACATAATTAAACATAACTTATTCAAATAAGGACCTCATTTGCATAATTTATGAGAAAATGTCATGGCATTCTTTGTTAAGATAAGACTGTCTTTTGGTGGAGAAAAGATCAACAGATATAATTCATGCAATTGATGATCCTATTTGCATAATTAGGGGGATTAATATATAATTTCTTAATCATAAAAGCTAACATCATTTGGCGAAGGTATGAGATCGTGGAACTCTAGTTGATATGGGAAATTAATATAGCAATCCTCATTTATTTATTCAATCATGGGAAATGTTAACTTTTCTAATGTAATTGGTCTACGATCTACCAACACTGTGAGGAGGGTAGCCACTTTACCGATGAACTTAACTTTGGACCACGCCTTAATACACGTGATTTCTTTACTTGGAACCCCCCACCCTCACCCACCTACGCAGATGTCAAACATTCGTGCCGCTGAAGTCATGGCAACTGCGGTAAACGCTGTTCAATGTACATGGCAGATAAGTAACTTTTATATAATGATCAGTTTCAGGGTGCCATCCTCGTTAGACTTTGGTATGGAGATGAGGGTGATTCACAGATTCAAAGCCCGAACTAGGCTTCAGTGAACTTTTTAGTCCGAGAAATTAGGCCACCTCTGCCACAGCATCTTTCTACCTAATCACGATGAACGTTTGTCTTGCAAATAATGTCTCTGTTCTCACAATTGCACCAATGAAAGCCAATACAAGCGGAGTTTGATAACGTCTTTCTACGGAAAAAAAGACAACTACTTTCAATCATTCTTATCACATTGTAAAATTTGAGAAATGTTATCATTTCTGCATCATTTTGCGTAGAAATCGGGCATGTACAGATCTTGGTCTTCCTCCTATGCTACAGAGGAATGTCGTTGTAGAAGTCCGTAGTAGGAAATAAAAATAGCCTTTTCCCTGTTAAAAGCTGCACTATGTTTCCTCTGATTTTTTCACGGTATTTTAGGTTCAATGTTTTCACGAACGCACGGTCACTTCTGTGCTCACGGTGAGCTTATCGTTACTTTTATCAAATTATTTGTCCTTCGACCCCCCCCCTCCCTGCACTTGCCGCTACCGCGAAGATTGCGTTCCGTTCATTTTCCTCAAACCGTGAAATTTTCCTACCTTAAAAACAACGTTCAGTCACTATACTTTGTCACAACACCACGATGTTGAAAAGCTTTCACGAATAAAGAATGTTTCCTTGGTCAGAAAAAGATTTCTTCGTTTGTCGTAAGTTAAAAATCGATGAAGCTTGTTTGATTTGCTCGCCATTAGGAATCAGTACGCGACATTTACGTACGACTAAAACTAATCCTGCTGATCTACTAAACGTCTTTTAACACAGAAACACGTTCTTGAATGTTTAAAAGTTGATGTGATATCAGTTCACTCACCTGTTGGGCGGAGGCGGCGGAGAAAAGAGCCAAAAGCGCCAACACCGTAAGAGCCATGATGGCGCAGCCTTCTTTTTCTTCTAGCTAGTAGTCGGCACCGTGCAAATCACTGTGATCTTTCCTCTCTCTTCGTTTATTCAAGTTGCATTGTTATCAAATAGACGGAGAGATATCCAGTGGTCGTGTGTGCCCGCCTGGGACCATAGGTTTCGCGCGCGGCACGTGAACATACCGGAGAAGTGCCACAGGCCCGGAGGGGTGTTTGTCAAAGATCACGGAGGTTATCTCAACTCAGCGGGCCGACTCGAGCATGTCCAACTTTGCTGGGAGAAAAGTGCAAAGTCCCCACAGACCTGGTGTTACAGTAGTTACACAGATATGACGCGTTTATAGTTGAAACTTTTGATCCAACACAAAAGGTTCTATCACCTAGAGCTTTCGACAAGTCACTCTGGTCTTCTTTCCTCCGTTACTGACCCATCAAAAGTTTTACCTCTAAACATGTATCTACCAACACAGATAAATTTTCATTATAGTATAGATATGACGTGTTTAAACGCTCGAATCTGTACACCTTTCTGTCCTCTTGTTCAGTAAAAGAATTTGATACATGCCGTACTATCCTGGAAATAAATTCTATTACATTCTAAGAGGAGATAACCTTTACTGTGCACAAGAAGGCAAATGCATCAAAGACTTTTTTAGTCTTTAGAACTAGTAGTATAAACCGTGCGTTAAATTCTGTGAGTTAATTTATTTGATTATTTATCCAGTAGACTTGTATGAAGGTTCATTTGTATCGACTTCTTTATTTGTAAGTGTACATGTAGTTGCGTAAGACATTACTGCACATTTGTAGTGTCAATAAAGATTTCTACGAATGACGTATGGCGAGATCTGAGAGACTTTTGACCTCAGGGGAGGTGCCGAAATAGGCGTAAGGCCACACCGACTTAATTTTATGGATGACATCCTCCGAAGACCCCCAAACTAGTGCGCGCGGGCGAATGAAAAAATTCCGGCAAAAAAAATGCTACTAAACCACAGTATTACAATACAAAGCTAGTATTGTGAATATGCGACAGTACACAGCGACGTCTGTATGACACATGCACATGCTGGCCGTTTGCGGATTTTATGAATCGACACTGTACTGAGTGTGTACTGAGTTCTTGAGTCGTGGAGCTTCGGTAGCCTGGGTGCCATCCTCCAGAGTTACCACCGGCTCTGTATTGTCGCTAACCACCATGGAGTACCCAGGCCTAGAGCCAGGCCAGAGCCTTGGAGGACGTGATCTTTCTTTTTTTTTTGAGAACAGACGAAAATCAATGCGTGCGCGGATGTCATCCATGAAATTAAGGCGGCGTGGCCTAATGGTCGTTCGGTCGATGTTCGAACGGTGGATTGGGTGGTACACTAATGAGGATTACGAGAAAGAGAGAATCTGTATTGGCATATGTTTTAAGTAGAGAAAAATCGTTCCTCATGTATTATCAATCATTGACAATTAATAGCCTTTATTTGTACTGGAAATGCCCTGTCGGCCTTAGCCGCTCTTCCCAGAGGTCCAGTTGAGGGGGGGGGGGGTCACGGGAACACAATAAATAAGTAAATAAAATTCAAACTAGATAGAAATATTAGCGGTTGCTAATATAGACAGGTTCGCAATGTAGTGTATTAAGCTAAATCGGCTACTAGTATTTAAGGTCTCATACGCCAATTTCGCTGTCCCATAGACTTACACCTTAAAATACGTAACTATTTTGGCTGGAATCCAATCAAAAAACATAAATCAAGAGTTTTTTTTTATTTCTATAGCAAGCACACATATGTAAGGCAGTACATTGATTTGGCCATACCAAGGCCACGGCTTCAAGGCCACATACTCCTGTTTACCTGAGGGAGTATCGGTACGCTGCCGCCTGAGCTGTGTGTCCTTGAAATTGCTCAGACTGCCAACTTTGGCCTGAGGAAAGGGAAATGAGGTCACGGAGAACAGAACAGATTCGGTGTCACTGCGTTTTCACTGTGATACGAAGAGATACAGAAAATGTGCTGTGTGAGCCCTTTCAAGGGGCCCTGCAAGGGGGGTCCCGACAACGCTACATTCTGAGAGACGGCTACGTATTGCGCTGAATTCAAGAAGCCTCTCTACGCTCTACGCTAAATTCGAAAGATTCCTAACACAGAAGTTCACTTTTAGTGCTTTACCTTTTGCAGGGTTCCTTCTCATCCTTTTTCTAATCACCACTCACCTTGTAAACAAGTCCCTTATCAAAAGAAAAAACACACCCCAAAACAAAATTCCACTTCTCTAAATAAGTGGTTTCATCTTTAGGACTACACATCCAAGAAAATACTGTTTTCTGAATTTAAAACAAGAAGAAGAAAAAAACTTCTGAAGAAAGAAAATTATTAATATGCACATTTTGATTGGTTTCTAACCATGGTTTCTATCCCTCTGTTTGCCTAAAAATCGATAATGTGATTGTATCAATTTTAAACCCCCTAAAATTAGCTGTGTCCAGGGGAGGGAGTCTCCTCATGGCTGTTATCACAACCAGTTTAAAAACTATTATAGTCTTATTGTCGGGAAATCCCAGCCTTTCTACAGGAACACAGTTCTCCCCTGCTAGCGTTATTGTATCATCCCCAACAACACGGCCTTGAACAGCAATCAGATAGCGCTCAAGGACAAACAGCTGCAACTATTCAACTTTACTTTGTACATAAGCAGCAGAACGTCTAGAGGAAAATCCGTACAGTATAACGCCCTGCAAATTATGTTTGTGAAAACTTATTGAGAAGCATTTCATGAAGACGATCGACCCTGAATTTGTCGTAAACCTTATAAGTAAGTTTGTGGGTTTGTAGCACAAGTTCTACCCCGCTATTGTAAAATGTACAATCCCCACAGCAGTTGAATACTAGTATACATACGGTGAAAACGAAATGTGATAGCGCTTAGTCTAAGCCTCTTGTCTTTTAATTGACCTCAGATTAGACAGAGGTGAATTGTTATCAATCACACCGCTAACGTAGCGACCTGAGGTTAAGCCCAATGCGATGCCTGTCAGACACGTCTAGACGTAACTGCGCAAACCCTCCTTGATTAGTGGACTCTTCCATGATGTCAATGTCTTTGCATTGCAGCTATGTTGACCAAAACTATTGAGTATTTAGAACAACCTATTAAAAGCAAATAAAGGGTCCGTCAGCATTGTCAAAAGTTCATGAACTTTTCAAATTTGACCCGTAGGTTAATGTCAGGACCCTCAGAAATGGGCATTTAATTGGCAGGAAGCGAGTTAACGCACGATTTCTTGAAGGAAATGTCAATCAGATTTGCGGTGAATTTGAAATTATTCAATCTATTCGGACCAATCACGGTGGATATTTGGGAGCCCCGGGGATGAAAGTTTGTAATTAGCATGCCTTCCAGCCCCTGTCGTGTCAGTCTGACGTCAACCTGCCAGGGGCAGGACAGGCAGAATTCTCTCGGCCAACTAGACTAGTACGAGTTATCCAGTTTTCGGCTTTCTCACGCCACGCATCCCGAAGACACAGCGCCGATGTGCCGGCTGAGGTCACCTTCTGTTGGCTCACAACGCCGGCTAGGCGGGGAAGGACTGCAAGGACAAGCAGGATTCCCTGGTCTATCCGACAGCTACGCTAACCATGGCGGACCTACAGAAGAAGACCATCAAACTGTGAGGCCGAGCTCCAGCGAGAGGTGGAGGCGCTAGAACAGAAGTGGCAACAACTGCACTCGCCCTCGTCCCATCCCCCTTCCTCCAGAAGAGCTGGCGATACAGGTGGAGGGAAACGCGCACTTTCTTGGCTTTCGCCCGTCATTCATGCATGAAGCGAGAGCTGGCCTGGATGCACAGATTCACCAGAGTTTGTCGGTCCACCTATGCACCAACCCCGATAAGAACATCGCTGGGAACGTGCGGTTCCTTCTGGGTCATCCAGCCAAGTTTGTTCGATCGCAATGTCAAGTGCAGAACTTAACGTTCTTCCTCAGTTCCATGACACAGTCCTCCTCGGCCTCTTAGCTGCAGGGTAAGTCAATTTTTCTTTTCATTCTTTGTGCTCTTTAGGGGGAAATAGTATGCAAAATTAGTGCAAAATTTTAGATGTACTGATTCAATGAAAGACTCCCATATTTCAGACCTAGCACACTTGTATGTATTAAAGCGCTTTGTTGTTGTTGTCCCTGCTTTACGTCAATTTTTTTCCGCTAGACGTGGACTCTTGGTGTCATTCTTTGCTTGGCGTTTTGCTTGTTGAAGCCACTCTTATACTTGTGCTTTGCACATGTGTGTTTGGAAATGTCATTTACTCATCTCTCTCAAACCTTGCCTAGCCTCTATGTTATCCTAGAACGCTCTGTACAGCATACTGATCATGTCTGCT